CAGGTAAGTTTTATCAAGGTACAATTTCTCCTCTAAGTTTCAGTCTCCTTGACAATATTCCCTTTCAAAGTACTCATGTAGAACAGGTAAACAGTCCATCCTCAAAGCATAAATCTTTAAAAGAGTAGGGTTTAACCAAGAGAACAGTGCTTCAGGGGATACCAGAAGAATAAGAGAATGATAGCATATGCCACGCATATTTTATAACTGGAATTTAATGGAAAAGGGGTTAAGAGAAGATTTCTCAGGGCCTAAGTTACTCCCTGAAAAAGAAAATTGGAAAGCTTCATGAATTCTGTAAGTATAACAGTAGCTAACATTTACTAAGTGCATATTATGTTTTAGGTACTATATTCACATTTTTGTATACATAGCTTACAATAAATGTATAAGGTAGGTATCATTGTTTCCATTTTATAGAAGAAAATCGAGGCACAGGAAGGTTAAGTAACTTGCTCAAGATTCCAGAGGAATCAAGTGGTAGAACAAGAATCAGAAGTAGGCACACTTTACAAGAACAGCAAGAACAAGGACAGGGGATTCTGGTGATGGATGTAGCACCTGTTGAAACACAAGTCTGGGATCAAATAAAGCGTCTGATCAGATAAAATACTGCTGACTACCTAATCTATAGATAAGAATATCATTATGTATTATATACTCAAATATGAAATAACATATTCTCTCTCTTTCCCCAGGTGCTTTTGCCTGCAGGTCTTACAGAAAATCTATACAAAGAACACTTGTTTATTTCCTAGTCAGTGTGATTTTGGGTACAAATAATAACAGATCCCATCCTTGACCAGGCAATGTGTCCACCCAAGAGTGTTACAGCGTCTTTTGATAGAGTACACATTATCAGAGACAGCACAAGTCAAACTGGCAAGCTGTAACTGCACCTGCGGACTGCAGAAAATAGTTCTAATAGCTTTCAGGTTCTGGAGAGAGACCACATATCTACTTCACATTAGTCACAAGGGGCTACCAGAGAGTAGGATCATCTGTCTAGGTTGAGATGAACCACTTTTAGCTTCTACCACTTTGGCAACAACTGAGCAAGAGAAAATTCAACATTGCTCTGTAATCATTGAATATTGCCCCTTTGTCCTATCTGGTATCTTTCTGTCTGGGCTATAGCTTCATAGAATAAGAGGAAAAGGAAGTAGAGTATATAAGGTTTCTGAATTAGTTACCCACTTAGGTAACTGAAGGAAAAGTAAGGAGATGACATTATTCATCCATCCATCCATCCATCCATCCATCCATCCATCCATCCATCCATCCATCCAACTATTTAATAAATACTTTTATTCTAACTTAAAAAGCCCTGACCCATTATTATTCAAAATACAGCTGACCATTTAACAGCATGAATTTAAATTGTACAGGTTCACGTGTACATGGATATATTCCAATAAAGACATTAGAAAATGTGTTGGATGCTCGTAACAATTTGAAAAAACTTGCAGATAAAATACATAGCCTAGAAATATGGAAAAAAGTAGAGAAAAGAGTATATCATGAATGCACAAAATATATGTAGACACTGTTCCACCGTTTACTGCCATAAAATACACCCAAATCTATTATAAGTTAAAATTTACCAAAACATATGTGTATACTTACAGACTGTACACAGCCATTTCCAGATGAGAGAAATGTAAACAAAAATAAAGATGCAGTGCTACATCATAACTGCACAAAAATTAACTGCAGTGTACACTGTGCTACAGTCATATCTTGTGACAACCTCCCGGTGCTGCTGTGGTGAGCTCACACAAGTGTGGTGAGTATTCATGAACACATTGTGTAGCATTCCTCATCTTGGCGTGAGCAGTTCATCTCTCCAGGAAGTTGAGTATCACAGGGGCATGCGATCTCTTGGGGTTTGCATGCCTTTTGCATCATGTGTAGTCCAATACTGTAAACCTTGGATAACACCATGGGCCCCATACACAGCACCACCAGTAATGTTGGAGTGCTTCCACTCAGCAGAGAGAAGCCAGGACATGACATGGAAAGGCTGAGCTGCGGAACACTGCGGGTGGAGGTCTGCACCACACTGCCCCGTGTTTCCCACAGACGATTCATCTTGCAAGCAGACAACAACATGAACTTACAGTGCCAGGCAAGTCAAGCACTCTTTTCTCATGATTTTCTCATACCACAGTTCTTTCTCCACCTTTGTAGATTGCAGTACCTGATACACATAGTTTATAAGACATGTATTGAGCAGCTGTTTATGCTATGTTAACTGTAAGGCTTCCAGTCAACAGTAGTTGATTAACAGTTAAGTTTTGGGGCAATTAAATGTTACTTGTGGATTTTCAACTGCACTTGGGGTTGGCTCCTGCAACCCCTGTGCCATTAAAGGATCACCTGCAATGCCAATAAAATAACTATATTTATATCTGCTCAATAGTGATTATATATGCAAGGTGCACCCTGACATAAAAAAACAAAACAAACAAACAAACAAACAAAAACCCCCAAAACTTCAGGCACCAGAAAAATAAGAGCACATGTGTGTGAGGAAGACAGGAGATAACATGTGAATGTAGATGTGGCCCAGGGTTATGCCTGAGGACATTTCTCCAGTGTTTTTAAAAAACTCCACCTCAATTCTGGCGATTTATAAAGGGAAGCAGGTGGAAACATGCACTCCATGATACACATAGACACCGAGGGATTATACGAGTACAAATGAAAGGTATTTACCCAAGCTTGTGCAGTGAGAAAAACTTTGAAATCTTCATTAAATGTTAAAGTTGGATGATCAGCAATTCTGTTCAAAAACTTATGTAACGCCTTCCTGCGTGTCTCAATGAAGCCATCACTAAAGCGCTCTACCATGCCTTTCACTATGAACTTTTCTGGCAATGGCTGAGGAAAAAAAAAGATATCTAAGCACTATGTGGCAACGGTTTCTAAGGAATTCTACACTTTTCCTTTTTGGAAGACTAGTTAAATATTTGATAATTTCTTATAAATAGAGTTTTTAAAAATTCACAATGCTAGAATAATAATGTAAAAACATATTACAAAAGTTTAAAGAACAAATCTGCATATTGATTGAAACATTTGGAAATAAATGTTTCTAAGATAAGTGAATTATACTGAATTTAAAGATCTACAATCAGATTTTGGGCATTCGAAAAGACTCATAAGAAATACAATAGCTATTCTAAGAAAAAAAAAAATCACAAACTTACTGGGATAATCAGAGTTGGGTGAGCTTCTTCTAGTCTTCCCTTCAACCAAAGGAAATCTTGATAACGTCTCCTAACTTCAAATTCACTGGAGTCAAATTCCCCACGAGATGTCTGAAAAAAGTAGGAGAAAATAACAGCACATGCAATATAAGATGGGAGATATTTGCCTACTGTTATTTCAGACACTGTGAAGTAAATGGGTCTCTAAGAAAAATTAACAGATCCTAATTATTCACTGTTTGTCAGCCTGTATTTTTTTTCCATCTATTCATGCAACAGATGAAACAAAGCAAACTTTCCGGTATTTCCAGAAAGAAAGCAAGTATCATGCTTAAATTTAAAATCCAAACTGAAAAATCTGTCTTACAACAACCATCTGCCTTCCACAAGATTTTAACTACTATTATCTTTGGCATGACTTTCTCGCTAACAAGAAAGTGTGTTCTGAATTTAGGTTTAAAATATATTTCTTTTCTCAAGATGATTAGAATTCAGAATTTGAGGAAACTCCTATTTTTGCAACTTGGAAAATAACCTGAGTATAACTGAGAAAAATGTTTTCTTGGAATTTGCTCAAATGAATGGCTGTGCTAAAATTTGCTTTTGGCATATGAAAATTCTAACATTTTACAAAATGCTTTTACCACTGTTTTAAAAGATGTAATTAATAGACGTTTGATGTGAAAAGCAAATCTTCCTTGTCATTTCTCAAGGAATTTTATTTTGGGTTATATGCCCAAACTTCCAGAAATTAACCAACTATATTAAAATATCTGTTCTCAACAAACCAAAAACTGATGCCAACACATGAAAGAGGATCATGGGTATAGTACCAAACTCACTGCTACTGCCTGAATCACAACCAAAACCAAAAATACAGGTCATCTCATGCATATGTGCCTCTGTAAGAAAAGTCACTAACATACTAATGACTTATTTACTGAATTTTTGCAATATTAAAAATTATACGCAATAATATTTAGATTGAGATTTTCCTGGAGGAGTAAAGATGAAATAACGTTGCATATAAAATTCACATTCACCGAAATATCAATCACCCACACAGATGAATATTATTGTAAAATTAAACAGTTCAAGTCATAAGATGCCATCTTAATTGTCATAAAATAAGGTTTGTGAAAGCTATACTTTCTGAAGTTATTCTCTGAAAATGAATGTTTAGAATATCATACACTTTATCTTTGTAGTGGGGAAATGAGAAGCAAATGAAAATGCAGATGTCAAGAAATGGAATGTTCACAAAACACTAAGAAATCTTGACCATTATGCAAAATGGCATAAGATATGGAAACAAGAAAAGTAGGAAAACTAAATCCAGCACCAACACAGCCTAACAAGATATACACTGGTTGGTATGTAGACATATATATGCAAATACACACACACATACACACAAAACATGGTTTACAATCACTCCTTAAAAAACACTCACTGAGCAACTCCTTGTACCAGGTACACAGGTACAGGCTCCCTACCAATTTCCAAGAAAATAAATTGGCATCACTAACAAAAGCACCAAAAAATGGACAGTTAAAATAGGATTGAGCTGTATATGTCTTCAAGAATATCTAACACTTTAAGTAAACATAAAACTATCTGATACAAATTCTAGCAAGAAGAAGATATAAAATCAAGTCAAATAATTGGCTCATTCTGCCTTATCAGCTGCCAATGACTTAAACAAATTCTCCAACACAGTGCACTAGAGGAAGAAAACAGAGGGGAAGTGTAAGGTCCAGAGAGAGTATGTCACTTCTTCCTACTGTAAGACTTCATTGCTCCTGAAGGATCATGAGGTTTATACATGGAGAAACACAACAAGGAAACCAGCCATCATCAGCCGGGTTCAGATCAGGACCAATTTCCCTAAAGTGCAAATCAGAATCATCACTCCCTCTACAGTGGTCAAATGTGGTCATTAGAAGACAGATAAAAGCCTCCAAACTATAGGAACAAGTGAATTTGATGACATATCTCCAATTTCAAAATACCATGTGTCCTAAACATTCATTTGGTATATAAATCAAGCTGCTGAAAACAGTTTTGCATGGGACCATTATTGTAAATGGTGGTTAGTTTGTCATGTCTGACCATAAAAGCTTGAACACTTAAGTCTCTGGACTCCTGTGATCTACACTCCAAAATGCATTCATCCCGTGAACACCATCTCGGGTCCAATGTGAATAGTTACTCTGAACTCTGAAGATTCGGAAAATAGGTTTTGAGGGATCATCAATCCTAACCATCAATCCAGTCGATCAAGAATGTAACTTAAGCCCAATCTGTGCACTAGCAGGCATGTATAGGTTTGTCTTCACAATGAGGTAATAGAAGGAAAGTTGCTTGTGAAATCTCTTAGTTCTTATTTCTCCATGTGCTAAGGGAACAGACATCTTTCCATCCCCAAAAGAGAAAGTGCTTCTGTAGAGCAGCCACCTCAGACATGCTAACCTGGAAAATAAAGGGTCATTTCCCCTCAAAAGAACAGGGGCCAGGAACATGGTCTTCGTGGTACAATTATTTACAATTGGATCATTCTTAAGTATTCCTGGATGGGAGTTTGTTGGAGCACACATGTGCTTAGATATATGTGCATTTATTCTTACAATTCTTAGCATTTATGAATATAAATAGTTATAAAACTAAGACTTCCCAAGGAAGCCATCCTTCAGTATCCAAATCAGTGGTATATCTCCTGCTCATATTTTTCTTCATAACATTCATAACATTTATAACTGCACAATAACTAAGCATAAATTTAATTATTTAATGTAAACACACACACACACACACACACACACACACACACACACACACACCCCTTCCCCAGACTGAAAGCTCAGTGAAGCACAGTACTTGGAAGACACGCGGCACTTGATAAAACTGTGTGGAATAAATCAGTAAATGAATCAATGATAAGTGAATAACTAAGAAAAGAGGATCTGGTAACATGATATACACGCTCCAGATGTTTATATATTTGCATCTCTAATGTATATTTCAGTATATACAGTCTATGTTCTAGGTTGTAGTAAAAGCAACGAGAAGGAGAACAGGGGAATCTTATAAGAGTTCATCTGAAGATAGTGGGCCATACCCAAACACAGAGACACAAAAATATAACTTAAAAAAAATGTACATTATGAAAGTAAACTGTTTGGGTATAACTCTCAGCTCAGCAAGCTACTATTTTGTGTAGCCTGTGCCAAGCTATAGAATTTCAGTGTCTTCATGCATGAAATGGGAATACACCATAAAATCTAGTTCGCAGGATTTTTGTGAGCTCATTTAAGAGTTGGTATGTAGAAAGTGGTTAGAATATTGCCTGGCACAATGCAATCACAGAATGAATGTTTACTATTTTATATGCTCTAACATTATTACTACTACTACTATCACTACTACTAAGAGCAGTCCATTTAAAGTCTGATATAAATGTGGAAAATTAAGAAAATCTACATGTCTATGATCACAGTAAAATCCAGAAGGTGACCTACAAAGAATGCCTTTCTGAGGTTGGGCACTGAGGCTCAAGTCTGCAATCCCAATACTTTAGGAGTCGAGGCGGGAAGATGGCTTGAGCCCAGGAGTTTGAGACCAATCCAGTCAACAAAGCAAGACCTCATTGCAACAAAATATCAAAAAATTAGCTGAGTATGGTGGTTCATGCCTGTAGTACTAGCTACTCAGGAGGCTGAAGCAGGAGGATCGCTTGGGTCCAGAAAGTTGAGGCTGCAGTGAGCCATGACATGCCACTGCACTATACTTCAGCTTGGGTGATGGAATGAGACTGCAACTCAAAAAAAAGAAAGAAAAAGAAGAATGCCTTTTTGAAGCAAATGATGGGAAATTATTAATTTCACAAATGCTTTGCAAGGACAGATGATGACAATGGATAATTATAACAGTAGTCATAGGAGAAACCTGCTCCATTCCTCCTAGCAGCATGCCTGCATCGACATAGTCAATCTTCATAAAGGCCCTATGAGGTCAGCACTGCTGATCTAGAGAGGTGAATTACACTGTCCAAGACCCACAGCAGGGAAGGCAGAGGTCAAGATTCAAGCCTGTGCTTTCAGTCCTGCTGCCTCTTGATAGGACTGCGATTCTGCGAATTCCTTCACTCATCCGACAAGAAGTTCAACTGCTTACTTCTTGTCGGATATCCCAAGAATTGTGTTTAGAGTTATAGCTAGATTAAGACATAGCACCTTCCTTGAGAAGTCTGCAAACTCACTGGAAATAAACACAAATAAACACATAGTTATCAATTACTGAACACTTATCCAGTGCTAGGCATGCTGCTAAGCATTCTACATGGATTACTGATCCTAAATCAACCCTTACAGAAACCCTACAGAAAACTAGGTTCTATTATCATCTCAGTTTTATATACTAAAAAAGCTGAAGCTTGGAAGGATTCAGTACATGCTTCTGATTACTTTGCTGCACCAGCTGACTTGAATACTTATGTTCTTTAAGAGTGCAACAAACCACATAAGAAAACAGAGGAACATTTCAGCCCAGGGACAGAAAACTCCTCGAGAAGGCTTCAAGGCAGCTAACATTTAGAGTTGTATACTGGAAACAAGACATAGTAAATCCCATATATATGAACCTTCAAGTTGCAAACTTTCAGTGACATGAACGTGCATTCGCATGTCCAATCATGTAAGTTAATTCATGTGTCTGAAGTACACTGTCATGTGCTGTACTGTAAGGTTAAAAATATTTTATCTTTTGTGGGCTTTTTATGCATTATTTGTGTGACAGGTATTATCAACCTGTTACAATATAGAACTATATAACCAGTGGTGTTAGTGGGGTGTCGAGGCTAACTTTGTAGGACTTAGGAACAAATTGGACTTATGAATGCACTCTCGGAACAGACCTCATTCATTTGTAGGGGATTTACTGTGCTGGTCTTCTAAGAGGGGGAAGGACACCACAGACAGAAGGAAAAGCATGTGCATAGTGATGAGAGTAGGAAAGCCCTACATGTTCAGAGTCTGAAAGCAGCTCTGTATGTGTGTGAGCAGGGTAAGGGTGCTGATCAGGTGTCATATGGTCTCACAGGCTGGTACCGACTGAGAAGCTTCTTTACGTGTCACACACAGGAGTCTGTGCTTTGTTCTGCAGGTAGTGAGGAGCCAAGAAAGCATTTGAAGAATCCAAGTGAAGACACCAGCTGTACACACTGTTAAGAAGCATAACCAGCAGTGGTGTGGGGAATCTGTCAGAAGAAGTGACTACAGGAACAAAGTTCAGAACCTTTCAGGCTCAAAGAGACGTCCCTTTACATTTATGAGGAATACAGGCTGAGGGCGAGTCTTCATAAACAAGATCCTGTAATTCATATAGTTAATTCTGAAAGACTGTTATGAAAATAAAGGACTACAAATAAAATACAGGTTATACCATTCTGGTGATCTCACTTGTCAGTTAAACGTTCATTTTGCAGAGCTTTGTCCTAGGATTAAGGAGACCTGCATTCCAGGCCCCCTTCTGCTCCTGAACTCCTGGACAAGTAACAGCAGTTCATATATAAGATAAAAGGGCTTCTTGCCACCTCTGGGAAACAAATGGTGTTATATTTTGCAATCTTCAGAAGAAATTTGAATGCAAAATATTATGTCGTGTTTAACTACTTGTTTTTCTTATGAACAATTTGAGGCCCTTTGCCCAAAGGCATTTCTTTATGCTTTTAAACTAAAAACCTAAATATGATTTGAAGTACAACTGCTATGCAGCTGGTGACTATTTCTCAAGTCAGTTTGAATTTCACTGACTTCATACAGGACAAGTGAAGGGTAGATAAGATGCAATGTCTTACCCAAAATGGCTGAAAAAAATATGTCGGCTCAGCTAGAAGTCTTTAACATTAGGAGTTATAATGAACAAGAAGTCCCAAGAAAGCAGTCATATTCACAAAAGCGTTCATTCCATGTTTACCTTCGTGATGATCCTGTAAGTAATGAAGGTTTCTATTGTAGTCACATGACTTTCAGGTTCATCAACGGTGATGAAGAGATCCTTTAAGTTTGGCTCATCTTCAAACTTGACTTGGTTTATCATAGACAAAGGAGATGTTGGCATTGCAGGGCTGAAGGAGTTCATGTCCATCAGTGAGGCATCCTAGGGGATAAAACACTCAAATTAGTATTACCAGAAAAAGTGCTCCAGTGCTCTATTTCTTAGATGCTACCAACAACAAAATGTGTCAGGAACAAAAAAGATTACTGGGCTTCTGGTTCAATACATATGGTATGTTGGACATGTATTTTTGCCTCTGCTTCCTCCTAAAAATCCCACCCCAAAGTGACAGGAAAGAATGAAGCAGACCACAAAAGACATAAACCCTCAAGGACTGCTATGGTTTAAGTGTTTCTGTTTCCTCCAAAGTTCATGTTGAAACTTAATCCCCAAGGCAGTGGTACTCAGAGGTGGGGCCTTTTGAATATGATTGAGTCATGAGGGTGGAGTCCTCAAATCTGGAATGAGCAACCTTGTAAAGAGGCTGAAGGGACGAAGCGAGCTCCTTCTTTGCCTTTGCACTTCCCACCATACAAGAACACAGCAACAAGGCAATACATGGAAGCAAACAGCCCTCACCAGATGCCAAAGTTACTGGTGCCATGATCTTGGACCCCCCAGTCTCTAGAACTATGAGAAATAAATTGCTATTATTTATAAATTAGCCAGTCTCAGGTATTTTGTTACAACAAAATGAGCAGACTCAGACAAGAATAAAAAGAAACTTTTGCAAACAAAATATGTCAACTACCTTTTGGAAATTGGAAATCTGATTGTCAAGTGGTAACTGAAATAGCAGTGTGGAGAGAGCTGAAATGTAACCTGGAAGATAATGTAAACTAGGAAGAAGAAGGCATGTTGATGATGTAGGAACCCAGAAAAGCCCAGGAGGCATCAAGAACTGTGGACACAGAGGTAGTGGTGGAGCTAAATCAGAGGACAGGTTCAAGATCACTGCAAAAAGTGAGAACCTCTGATCCCCTCACCCATCCCAGGCAGTCAAGTAGCTTCCCACCCCTATTCTGCAGAACACTGGGTGTTTTGCTTTCCAGGGGGCTGGGGGGGAGGGTGTCTCTGAACTTGAGGGAACCTAGAATGGGGGAGAGGCCTTATGAAAATGCAAATATCAAGTAAAAGTACTATGTACTAGACAGAAACACATGCAACCATCTTCCTTCCCTTGGTCCCAAGGATGCCAGCAGGAAAGCACAAACACCATCGCCTTACGTTAGGCTGTTCAGGCTGCTATAACACAACACCATTAGCTGGGGAGGGCCCATTTGCTAGTTCACAGATGGCTTCTTTTTATTGCAAACTCACATGGTGTGTGGAGTGAGATCTCTCTGGGGTCTCTTTTATAAGGGCACCACTCCCATATCTCAAGAGCTTTACCCTCATGACCTCATCACCTCCCAAAGGCTCCACCCCTACTCCTATCCCCTTGGTAGTTGGCACCTCAACATGGGAATCATGAGTGGAAACAAACATTCAGACCACAGCACCACTGTGGGCGGAGGGTTCCTCTCTTGGCTGACCATTCTGAGAGAAAATTGACAGTTGCTGTCACAAAGCCCCTACCACTCATGTGGAAGGTTTACTCAGCTTTCCATTACTTGACACAGTAGCTGCCAAACATCCAAAGGAAAAGCTCTGATGTAAAAGAAAGTCACACACACACACACACACACACATACAATCGGAGGAAGCAGATGGAGTGGAGTAGAAATGCTTTAAAAAACTAGGAAACTATTAGAAAGGTAATAGAAGATACTGGTGAATGAAATCATGCTGTTATAAAGAGCAGGAACACCAAGAAAAAAGGTGACGCATGAAAATTAAAATATGGCAGCCAGGTAAAAACTCAACAGAAGGTCTGAAAGCCAGAACCCAAGAACAGTCCCAGTACACTGAGCGGAAGAGCAAAAGGTGGAAAGTGAGAGAGAAAAGCTTTTTAAAAATTAAAGAGTCTGGGCTGACAGTGCCTGAGTAAGAGAAATTCTAGAAAATGAGGAAGGAGAGAATGTCCTTGAACTAATGCTTCCAGGACACACTAATGGGGCCTTCACTACTGCCCGAAATGAAGAGGACAGTGGTGGGAGAAGCAGCACTCATGCAGGAAATCATCACCTGACATTTCCTAACAGTGGAGATGCTTACCTTCCTGAAATCTTCCAGAGAAAATATAGGCAGGTGAAATAACAAGGAACCCCTGGCAGTCAGAACAGGATCAGATTTCTCAACAGTGACACTGGAGACTAAATGACAATAAACTGATGTCTTCTACATTTTGAGAAGAAAGGATTTTCCACCTAGAATTACAGATATGGCCATTCAAGTATGTAGGAGAGTGAAACAATTTCAGAATCCACGATTTCAAAAACTAATAACTCCCCATGTACCTATCCTTTGGAAGCATCTTTACTTCTCCAAAAGAGGGGCATATACCAAGAAGGAAGAAATAGAATCTGAAAACACAAGATCCAACAGAAGATAAAAGTGGAAGAATACTCCCTGGATGACAAGAGAAGAATGTTCCCGGTTAATGGCTTTCAGCAAACCTAGAACACAGCCTGTACAGACTGAACCAGGAAGATAAATAACCAGGGAGCCAGGGAGAAAAAAATAAAGAATGAAGCAGAAAGGAAGGGAGGCAGGAATGGAGGAAAAGAGAACAAGGGAAGCAAGCAAAGGAAGAAAGAAAAAAAGAGGAGAGAAAGAGAGAGGGAAGCAAAGGGAAAAAGGGAACAAAGAAAGGAAGGACAAAAGAAATGGGAAGAAAGGGCAGCTGAGAGAAACCTGATGACAATGTGAGAGAAAACTCGCTCGGTCAGATTTCTAGGCAAGTTATAATTGGTACAAGAAAGTGAAGAAGGAGGGAGAAGGCAAGAAAGGGAGAGATGAGAGAATAAGTAAATGAATAGTGAGCACTCAGAAAAACAAAAGCTGTACAAGAATGAAAATGGAATCGTAGTTCACTATATGGCTTGGCTGTGAATGAAAATAAGTTTTTCTTAATTCTGAATTTACCTGAAAATGGTGATATAATTATACTAAGATGATGGGAGAGAGAAAAACTTATGTATATGTTTGAGGAAAGGGAACACTGCCTATAAAATAGCTTCCAAAAGGTCAGTACTATGATGAAAAAACAAAGATGAGAAATGGCTCAGACTAGTACACCAGAGAGACAGCAGCTAAATGTGACATGTGACCCCAGAACTGACTCTGCACCAGAGTGGAAGAACATCTTTTCTCTCTCTTTAAATGATATTATTGGAACAGAGATATTCAGGTGTGATGGTGTATGCCTGTAGTCCTAGTTACTCGGGAGACTGAGGTGGGAGGATTGCCTGAGCCCAGGAGGTCAAGGCTATGTGTGGTAAGTCGTGATCATGCCACTGCACTCTGGCTTAGGCAACAGAATGAGACATTGACTCAAAAAATAATAATAATAACGATAATAAAATAAAATATATATTGCTATTGTTTATTTTTCAATTTTGCTATAATCAATACTCTTCCCACTGAGTATAAAGAGTATTTACAGTATTTAGTTAATTAATTACATGACTTTTGATTCGTAGATTCCTATTTTACACAATGTGTATAATCTATTAATTTGTAATTTATTTTGATGTTTAAACAGCTCCAAATTTGACTGGTGGGAGCCCCCTAAAGCTGGCACCTGTATGCTTTTGATACATGTTTCTTTATTATTCTTTGAGCACTTTATTCTCCGGAACAAGATGTTTCAGGTTTATTTCATTCTTTCCCTGTCCCAGCCCTGGAATCAGATATTTCTCCAAGGAGACTGGTATTTACAAATCAAGAAATGAGTGCTAGGAAATAAATGATACACACACACACACACACACACACACACACACACACACACACACACACGCACATACATTCAGATATGGATCCATGAAATTCCAAGAGCTCATACTGCTACCACTAATTCTAATTTGACATGACACAGCTTATCATAGCTTCTCCCTTCCATATTTATAACTCCTTTCTCCAGCAGTAAGAGGCCTGGTGCCCAGTATTCTGAATATATGCACTTATCAGCTGAATCCTCTTATATCGAAGCAACCTCCCAACCACCCCAGCTGCTCCTCAGCTCTGACCACACTAGCCAAGGCAGCCGTATTCTCTATCCCACCATGCTGGCTGTTTGCAAGCCCCAGTCTCACTGGCTACACTGGTCACCTGCTCAGTCATTTGCAACAATTTTGTTTTGTCTAAATAAAGGAAAGGAAAAAATGGGAAAGAAAAGGCTACATGTTATTTTTTAATACAAATTGTAAGAACGAAACAAGGAAAATATATAGTAAACTTTAAATACAAACAATGCTTCCTTCACATGCAATGATAAAACTAACACTTTCAGTGGAATACTAAGTTACTTCTGCAGTAAGGGCTTGTCCTCCAACTCTCAACTTTCTCTTTTGGACAACTTTTTCCCTTTAAAATAAGAACTTAGATATTAGGATCAAAAGTTTTGTCTGTTGTTCTGTAAAAGACTAAAGTTAACTGACATATTTGAAGATTAAATCTGCAACAAAGCTCATCTTGGAAACAAAGATGGCCAGTACTGAGTGAAACAATCATTATAAAGACTAAAAATGACTTCTCGTCCTGTCTCTGCCTTTCACTAAGCAAGTAACCTCGAATCATTAATTCTACCTCTCTAGTTTAAATTAAGAAGTTGGACTTGACAATCTCCAAAATCTCTCCCAAATCCAAATACCTTGATACAGAGAATGTAATAAATTCTGATGTTTTTAGCAAAGGTACTTTTTTGTGAAACTACAAGGGAAAAAGAGAATAAAATCATAATATGGAGTTGCTTTTCCTTCAAACCCAAATCAATAAAAGTGCTTCAACAAGCATTGACAATCCTTGGAACACAAAAAGCTTAGCTGTGTGATCTACGATGCAGTATCTGGGCAATCCTTCAATGCAATAACACAAGAGACATTCCAGTCGGACACCATGTGAAGAGTCAGGAATAACAGTGGCCCTACAATTAAGAAAGGTCAGCCTACTGCAGTCACAAAAAGAGCTGTCATCCCTTAGGCAAGATGTGG